GATGGACCGATCCGATATTACGTATCGGTCCAAGATATTAAAAATACAGTTTTATTGATTAAAAAACACACTATATCGGATTCATATCGGTATCAGCCGATATCCATATTTATGATATCGGTATCAGACATAAAAAAGTGGTATCGTGCCATCTCTGGTAAGAACCCACACTGAAAAATACTGTGAGGCCAGAATCCAGTTTCTATCTGAGGAAGGATGACAGATCAGATATGATCTTAAAAATACGTTTTTAATATAAAGGCTTGTCTGTTTTTATTTTATGTCGTTCGGTTGTCTTATTAAATCTTTTTTTTGTTATTTTGTATGGGTGTTAAATTGTTTAATATAGTTTTGTATTTAAAAAAAAACTGGTTGCTTTCAACTTTTGCTAGAAAATTACACAGTTGTACATCTACATTACTATGTTTGGAATATGTTAACATATGTATATATATATAAATATTTAAAAATGTCTAAACTTGAGTGTGAGCTCAGACATAAAAGTAATATTTTATGGTTTCACAATACCGAACATCCTGTTTCGGGGATCTGTGTCTTGTCCCAGTTGTCTGGTATTGGAGCAGATGCTTTAACCACGGGCCGTCTGCAGAGACAGAGGGTTAGGATGACTTTAAATACACAAAGTTTGGGTGTAATATGTCTGAAAACATAAGTAACACAAATGCCATTAAAAGTTTCTTCGATATACAGACACCTTCACTTTTTACATATGTTTAAGATTTCATTTTAAATCAACAACACATTTTCCCCATCACATGCCATAATGGCAAGAGCTCATGTTTGTCATTTTAGGGGTGTTTTTGTTTGTTTTTCAGTTTTTTATAATTGCTAAATCACTGCTGAGATGATCTGGATACAGTTAAGAAAGACACACACCTGAGCATGTAATAACCCCCACAGTTCATACTAATATTAGAAAAAAACAAACAAACCAACTATGAAATCTTAGGAACTCTTTCTTAACATCCCCGGCGACAGGCCTCACCAGGTCTAGATCAGGGAACGGGTCTAGAATCATATCTCTGTGTCACTGTTTTATCAATTATGTCTTTATGGTAGCCGCTTTGAGTAAAGAGCATCAGATAGCTCCCTCGGCACACAGCTCTCACAACATGACGTGATGTCACGGTGTTGGCAGCATCAGGCTCTGTGCTGCTTCAGGCAGCAGAGACGGGCAAGCAAATGCTGAGTTAGATCAAAATAAAGGTTCACGTTTCTGCACAGCAATGAGCTGCATCATAGGCGTGGCTGCTGGTTACAGAAAGTCTGTCCTTCAGTGGTCCAGAGTTAAACTCCAATACAGTATAATGTGCATCAACAGACCTGAAACAACCAAGTCTGACAGGACCTGCCATGAAGACCAGAATAAACCAAACAAACAGACTCACAGCTGCACTACTACTGAAGGAGCTTCTACAAAATCGGCTCTGACTGGAGCATTTTTAATGTCTAGTGCTTGCCTGTTTTTTGACATTCTTGTTGCTGAATGGACAAACATGGTGAATTTGCTTCACTCTACTCTTAAGGCCCTGACAACACTAGTATGTTGGGATGTTTACCCACAATGGTAAACCAAACCCAAACAAACACTATCTTCATGCGGCTTTCCCTCAGCTGGAAGCTCGAAGGCCAAAGCTGGAACATCAAATTCTCCCGAATTCTTCCTCAAGGTCGCCTGCAGCGACTTGGGGATTGTTGACTTTTGCTTAAAGTGAAAGAGCACTCTCTCTCTCTCTCTCTCTCGAGTTGGATACAGGAAACACACATACACATGTACTCAGACACAGATATACAATCACACACACACCTCGCCCTCCAAACGCCTTCGATGCTTACACCTGATGCGGTCAGACAGGTCTCTGCTGCGGGACCAGATGACGGTTGTCTACATTGGCTCTCTCCATTACCCG